CATATACATATATAGATATACATATAGATATATATATACACACACACTCATATATATATAAATAAATATATGTATAAATATATATATACATACATACATATATATATATATATATATATATACATATACATATACATATACTTATATATATACAATCATGCAATCATACATACAAACATACATACATCCATACGTACATACATACGTACGTATATATATATGTGTATATATAAATATACACACATTTATATATATATACATACACACACACACACACACACACACATATATATATATATATGCGTGTGTGTACGTACACACATAAATAAGTAAATTAAGTAGATTTGCTCAATATACCATAACCTAATTTGCTCATATTACCTTAACTTTATTGTCGCGTACAGTACTTGTGGTGGAACCATCCAATCGAAAGTAGGACACTCCATTAACCCACTTGGTGGGGGCGAGCGGCTTCTCGTCGTCGCTGTCATCGCGAGATCCACCGAATTGTTCGGTACCTTGCATGTTATAAATAGCGGGGTTAATATGAACAAATTTAGATTAGATGGACACTTTTACTATGGTTGTGTGATAAGAATAAAGATGATATATATATACGTATTTATATACATATAAATAAGAGGTTCAAAACATGCTCTAACATATACATGTATATAAAGAGGTTTAACCTCCTGGACAGATCCGTCTTGCTCGACTATAATCATACCCGCCGCCCCGAAGCGAATCTTCCTTTTCGACTTTCTGCTTTCCTAATGGAAATTGATACGTTCAATGTACCGACATCTTCACATAACATAGATATATTCCCTTTTCGACTTTCCTAAAGATGGGAATCGATACGCTGAAGAACCTCATTGACGCCCACTTATACCTTCCACTATCCTCACAGGATCTCTTTCTGCTGTAGTAGCTGGTCAAAGATATACAGCGTGCTAATACCTTAGCAGTATAAGAGTACACATTGCCTCGCACAACTGACGCATACGAATGCACGAAAGCACACTGCCATATAGTCGCTTGTTGCAGGAACATACGAAACGAGTCTTTTACCAACAGATATACAACGATAGAGATATACTTGAACCACAAAAGAGGCCATACTTCTTGTTGCCCACTCATACCTTCTGCTTTCCTCACAGGGACCTCTCTCTGCTGCAGTAGCTGCTCAAAGATATCCAAGGTGCTAATACTCTGACTGAAAAAGAGTACACGATCACCTGCCAACACAGACGCTTCAATAATTTTTATCGCCGCTGCTAGTTTGCCACTCATTTCGAGCATTCTCGGCTTGTACGCACCTCCCTTAAATACCGAATCCGCCCATGTATGCACAGGTTGACCGGGTTTATTGGACGTGTTTGTCCCTGAAATAGTCCCTTGCCTGGAGGCAAATTGGCTTGCAGCGGAGGGTGCTGGGGATGGCAAGGAGCTTCTGGGTAGGAATGGCACACTGGCCCCCGTGTATTGGGTTTGGAATTGAGATTGTGCATGGTATGGGGCGTTCTGAGTATTACTTTGGGTCTTATTTTGGGTGGTATTCTGGGTGTAACTCTGGGTCTTAACCCCCGCTGTGTAATTCGCATTGGCATTGAAACTATTTATAGTTCCAGTAGTCCCGCTCACCCATGTTGTGGCACTGCTCCCCACCGCCTGCTTGCCCCAGGGATTGCTAGCAGTAGCGGCGGGTACCGGTTTCACATCCTGTCGTAAACCGGGATGGACTGCCTCCTGCTGCGGCGAACTCGGGCCTGAGTCGGTCAGATCAACGACGGCCTCGACTTTAGTAGTAAGATTCTCTTTCTTAGTGCTATAGATGCCCTGTGTAGTAACACCCGCACCCCTAGTATCCCCCCAAGGGTTGGTGGTTTGGGCTATACCACTATCAGCCCCACCTGGCCTACTGAGTCCCGATTGCTTACCCCAGGGATTAGCAGTGGAGCTTACGCCAGGGCTACCCAAACCGGAACTTAAACCGGAACTAAACTTTGGTACAACCGGGTGGGACAGTAAAGGAGCCCCGCTCGACGACTTCCACGCACTTGTCGTTGTACCTGGCAACTCTTTCTTCCCGCAGGTACTGGCAGTCGAGCCCAAACCCAAACCCGAACTTGTACTCACACCCGTACACGTACCCATACTCGGGGTTGAAGTCGACGATCCCGATGTAGGTATGGATATACTACTCAGCGCAGGGGATGGGGTGTGCATACGCGCTTGCCTGGCCACTATACCGCGGGATAGGCCAAAGCCTTGTTGACTGGTCAACTGCAGCCGTTGGTGTACTTTGGACTGTGGGGGTGCTGCGGGTGTGGGGGCCGGGACGGGACTTGGGCTATGGAGAGTCGGGAGTTGGTTGTTGGCCGGTTGCACCGTCTGAGGGTGAACCATCGACGTTGAATGGATGCAGATAATTTAGACAATTAATTTAGTTAGTTGCTTTTAGATAATAATTGAATTGGCTTAGTTAATTTAGCTACGTTGGGTGATATTTATCGATACGTAGGTGGATAAGAAGTTAATAGGAAACGGGTAGTTGAGTAAACTAACCGAACAAGTCTAATCAATTTCATTGGTTCGCCTGATAATAGTCGGTGTGTGGATGGAGATGGAGTCGATAGGAGACAGATAGTTTGGCAAATTGATCCAATTAGTTTAGTTGATCTCGTTGGGTGATACTTGTTCATCTGCAGATGGATGTAGAGTTGAGTTGATGGGAGACGGCTAGTCAGTTAATCTAGCTGGGTTGAGTGCATTAGTGTCTAGAAGGATGTGTATATAAGTTTTCACATATCCATGCAAATGTGTATGTTTAAGAAGGCGAGCGGGGATTAGGCCGAGAGATGGTTAGAAGACAGTCGCGGTACGGTCGGGGTTGAAACGCATACATATGTGCACAGCAATACAAATAAATAATAAATTGAAACACGTGCGTGTCTAAATTAGATTTATACAAACACGAAAATGAAACGCATACGTATGTGCACAGCAGTACAAATAAATTATAAATTGAAACACGTGCGTGTCTAAATTAGATTTATACAAACACGAAAATACATATAATTTTTAATCAAGACATGCAACTAATCCATGTGCCTGGTATTGACATGCAAAATTAAATACGTTTGCTCGATTACACACAACCTTATAGGTGTATACACCGACTAAACACACTCAACAAAGTACATACACCGACAAGGCACACTGCTACACATACAACCTACATAGACACTACGCATACAACGGCTATAGAAACAACGAATATACACGCACAATGCACATTTCTACACAAAACACAAATAGATACCAACTACATACACATAAAATGCACATTACTAGACGAACAACGACCATGGACACTACCGTACCGGAGATGCGGGCCTGCTAAATGTCATAAGTTTGTGTGTATGCTGAGGCTCAGGTTGAGGCTTGCAGTTAAATTGGGGTTGGGACGGTGTTCGAGTGACATTGCTGATGCTATTGGCGGATGCCTGAGTGGTGTCCAGTGCGGCCTTCCACTCATCGTACAGTACGTCGGGATGGTTCCATATCTGTGCGTATGAATTGCGTGCAGGGTCAGTTGTACTTTCATATGTATAGACTATCGGAATGGCTCCAATCTGAGTGAGGCGAGTTTGTACTGTTTGATATACTGTCATATGTTGAGTAGACCGAGTTGGTTCCAAATCTCTGTGAGATGAGTTTGCATAGTTAGATATGCTGTCATATGCACAGTGCGTCGGGATGCTTCCATATCTGTATGTATTATTTGTTTATAGAGTTCAAGCTCGCGATGATTTTATATATATGTGATGCGAGTTTCTACGATTAAATATATTGTCATATATACAGCATATCCGAATGGCCCCATAACAGTGTGTTGGGAGGGTATACGGATAGAACTACTATCATACGTAAAGATTGCTGGGATGGTTCTATATATGTATAGAGTGGGTGTGTACTGTTAGTTTTGCTTCTATACGTACAGATAATCGGGATGGCCATACCTGTGTACTGCGATAGAGTAGGGCTAAAAAACAAAAATATGCACGATCATTGGGGTGCACATACCACTATATATATATATAAATAAATATATCTATATATACATACACACACACACATATATATATATATGTACATATATATTGTATATATATATACATTCACACCCACACAAACACAGACACAGACACAGACACACAGATACACACATATATATTTATATATGTATATATATTATA